AAAGAGGGCCTGGCCCTGGGGCTGAGAACCTGTATGTCCCATTGTCTGACACCTTCCACTAGGTGGGCAGCTTTTGTCTCTTCTTAGGCCTGTGCAGGAGGGACCTGCAGCAGTGACACTTTAGTTGTCACCAACATGATTCTTTTCTGCTAATCTCCAAAATAATCTTACCCTACAGACAGAGTGAACATTTACACACACTCAAACAAGCACAAACATACACAAACCTACTGTTAACAGGCTGGGGATATGCTCCTGTGTTATACATATGAGATACATTGTCCTGTGGCTGCTTTCTTGTGTTTTCTATCCATCTCTTAAATTTTTGAGACTTTGCAAAATTATTCTCCAGGAGATGATGCCCCCTGCACTCTCCTCATGCCCTCTGACTCAGTCTCTCACCCTTTGGAAGACAATTCTGAGGTGTAAGTGATTGTCCAATGAATGAAATGAAACAAATGAATAGAAATGAGTGTAGTCAGATAAGTGTTAACTTAGTAAGCTGCCATTACATATCTCAGTGGAATCACGGGAAGGAAATGTGTAAAGGAATATTGTATATAGAAATACAGTAGAACCCCACAGCTGACCACTTTCCTATATTGACCATCCCCCTTAACTTGATCTAATTTTCATAGACCAGACATGCACCACATGTACATATTAGTCCAGTAGGCCTACTTCCTTATGTTGACCACTTCCATGTGTTGACCAATTTGTTACAGTCCCTTGGGTGTTCAGCTTACAGAGGTTCTACTGTATTTCTATATTATGTGAATTGTTCATAATTAAAATTTATTTACCTAATATATACACAATAAAACTAAAATTACTAGAAGAAAATTTAGATGAACTTTATTTGACTTTTGGATGGGAAAATACTTTTGTTTTCATTTTTTTTTTTTTTTTTGAGACAGAGCCTCAAGCTGTCACCCTGGGTAGAGTGCCATGGCTTCACTGCTCACAGCAACCTCCAACTCTTGGGCTCAAGCGAGTCTCCTGCCTCAGCCTCCCAAGTAGCTGGGACCACAGGCGCCCGCCACAACGCCCGGCTATTTTTTGGTTGCAGCCATCATTGTTGTTTGGCAGGCCCAGGCTGGATTTGAACCCGCCACCTTAGGTGTATGTGGCTGGCACCTCAGCCGCTTGAACCACAGGCGCCAAGCCGGAAAATACTTTTCTAAGCTTACTAGGAATGGAATAATAATAACCAATAACATGTATTCGGTGATTATCATGTTCCAGTCACTGTTCTAAGCACTAAGCAGTAATTAGTTCATTTTCACAAATATACCACATTCTCATTGTAGTTATTTTAAATGGTGAGGTAATGGTGATTTTTATTTTCTTTCCCCAATTTGCCCATTTATCTCTCTCTCTTTTGTAGTAAACACATACTTCATTTGTAAGCAGAGCACTGAGAAAAGTATTTAACAATTGTTGAGAAAAACTTCTAATTAGTTCCCAAGTGAACTATTTTGCTGAAGTTTTAATCATCCTATTCAATTCATTGGAGGGTGTATTTTTCCTCTGAAACTTCTAATTGGACTTTTTGGTGATGCAAGGAGGAAGACTATGCCATAACCAAGTCCCTGAAGTCATTGAACCTCAGGGCTCATGGGTAGACAATATGGGTCTAACGTCAGACCACTCTCCTGTCTCTGTGGCTTTGAGCTACTTCCAAAGAGCAATCCTTTCTAAATTCTACATGCAGTGTTCATTCTAATTTGAAAATTATTCCTCCAGAGGGTGATTGATACTTTGCTTCATAAACATTTTGTCAATATTACACAATGAGATATTTTTTCTTCTGTCCTTTCCAAGGGCTCCTGTACACACATATGTGCTTGAACACACAAAATACATCACATACACACAAGGGTGCTCAGCAAAAACAGCCACTCCTCTCCAAAGCTCTAGTTCTAAATGTCTGGCAACAAAGCTTTTGTGTCTCTGTATCAGAGAAGACTTGTTTGGAATGTATTAAATATATTTTAAATCACAGGCATAATCTGTAATGATTAAGTCTCAGAGGTGATAGGCTCAGTGTGTAGTGTGTATAAATTCAAAGAAGGTGACAAGGATCTCCTTGCCAGATACTAAACATTTTTCTTGAATTCTTGGGTTTCAAACTGGTATAGCCATATGAATCTGGAACCCCTGTAGGTACCTCAAACCCAACCAGGTCCCCCAGTGGACAACACTATGTATCCCCAACTCCCCAAATGCTTCCTTCTTCTTTGTTCTCTGTCTTGGTGGCAGGCATTTCCTCGGCCTCCCACACTCTAATCTTACCTTCAATTTCCTTCAACATGGCCTCTCTACCCTCCCTAGGCATCAACTCTTAATCTATATAATAAGAACAGCTTCTTCCCTCATCTGCACAGGTTCCTGGGCTCCTTTCCTAGAGATTTGGCCTGAGTGGGACCTACCCTCTCTTGAGAGGGGGATGGGTCTGGCATAGGCTGGCCTAAGGTGCCCGGGGGAGGGCCTGGATGTACCTACCAGGCATGGGAGGCCAGGCCAGGCCTTGCTTTGATAGTGCAGGTCACTGTGGCCTCTTGTGATGGACCCAGGACCCTCAGCATAGGAGCCTCTAACCGTCTTCTTGCTCCCACCACCCCCACCATTTGGAGACTGTGAAAGACAGTCATGTGGTGCTAGCACCAACCTGGGAACAGGGGAAGCTGCTCTGCTTTGAGCAGCTCAGCTAGTGCCCCAGGCACTGCCAGGATGGGACAGCCACCTGCCTTTGAAGGTGTCCATCCCCTCCCAGCCTGATGTATATTCTGCCTCTCACTGGAAAGGGGCCTATCCCTCCTCTCTGAAGACCCCTGTGCTGCCAAACCCTGACCTCACAGCTTGGGAGCAACTTGACTCTATGTCTTGCCCCCTACAAGCCTGTGTGTGTGTGTGTGTGTGTGCGTGTGTGTGAGATGGGGAGGTAACAGGGGGTTTCCCCTCCAAGCAAGGGAACCACTAGGAAAATAGGACCAGTCAGTAGTCTTTAACTTTAAAAACTTTTTATTGTGGAAATTACATATCTATATACTGGTAGAGAAAACGGTATTTTTTTTAAAAAATTCAATAGTTACCAACATTTTACTAGTTTATTTTAGAGTAGGGGAAGATTTAGGGATGCAAGCAATTGGAGTTAATGCTTCTTGAGATGGAGCTTGCACAAATAACGGGGTGCCCATTGAAGGCTACAAGGGCATCATATGGCCCTGAAACACAAGGTCCACGTGGGGCTGGAGTGGGTATTGTCAGCATTGAATAGCTACTATTCTGAACACTGTATTTCTTTTTGCAGCCTGCAATGGAGGGAAACATGGAAGGGCCTAGTGCTATGTTAAACTGCTGCTAATCCTCATTGCCAGTGGTTTGGCACCTGCATGCTGGGCCCTGGCCATATGTCACTCTCCATGCAATCCTTACCTCAATTACAGGAAACTTCTGTCTGTCTTTGGGCATAGAATTGGGCACTGGGATATCACCAGGTGTTTGCTGGGGTATTTTCCTACACTTATTTGTCAGCTCCTAGGCAGAGTCTATAGTGGATTCTTTTCTGTAGTCATCTTCTCTCACTGTCTTGCCACAGCTTTGTCACTGGCTAAAGAATGATGTGGTGCCTGCCCTTCAAGGTCTACCACTCCTATCTGGGAGTGCCTCACTGGTGGCTCCTAAAACAGGGCATTCACCTAGGCATGACAAGGAAGGTGGTAGAAGAACTGAATTGAGGAAAGCTGACAAGGTTGGAAATAGCAGATACTTATGGTCCCACCATACCTTACTTAGGAGTGCTTTCTGGGTTCAAACCTTAGGGAAATTTGGCAGAACACAAAGTCCAGAGGGAGGTGGTCTTGGTATTGATTTAGTTCCCCAATGAAAGGTCCCTCAAGGACTTAGGCTCCCTCCTTCTTGGCCTTTTTAACAGCAGGTGGGTGTTCCTAGGTTTGGTGGTAGAAATGATTCATCCTTTCCAAGATGAAAGGAACAGCTGGTAGCCACTGTATTAAAATGAGTTGGTTCAGTGTCTAATAGGTCATGATAATTTGTGAGCTCTTTGAGGGCAGGGACTTTGTCTTGAGCTTTTCTGTACCCCAGTGCCAAGCCCAGTGCCAGGTACACATGAAGTGCTAATTCATTCACTGAAGAAATGTTTCCTTCTAAGTGTTATTGTGGAGGAAAACATAGGCATCCAAGGCACTGAGCCCAGCCTATGGGGTGGGAGTGAGGTCAGCAAATACCTTCTCACGGTCACAGAGGCCTCAGGCCAATAGCACACTAAAAGTTTTCATTCCATTACCACCTTTGGTCTGAAGACATTCCCTGTTTTAAAACTCATGGAGGCTTGCAGTTCAGTTCAATTACCATTTATTGAGCACTGATCATGTACTGGGTGCTGGGGTGACAGAGATTAACCATAGTTCTCATAGACAGACAAACTATTCCAGTACTACATGATGTGTAAGGACATGGTGCTTCTGAGAGCAAGTTGCCCTTTAAAGGAGATTTGAAGAATGAGGAGGAGTCAGCTGGCCCAAAAGCAGCTGTGGGGCAGATGTAAAATGTCTTAGTGAGGATGGTGAGTGGGTCAAGGGTGGAATCCTCCATACTGCTGTTTCAGGCTTCCTTTGTGTCTTAAGTGATCTTTCGGTCATTTTCCAGTGATGGAGAAATTCAGTTCCTGGGCTGGCTCTGCCTTTTCATCCAAGGATCTGGGAGCTCCTTGTATTTCTATCTCTGCTAGTTTTTTGGCTATAGAAGTGTCTGGTTTAATTGTTTCTTTGGATCATCTCATGACCTTCTGCCTGTCTGTGTCCATGTCTCTGACAGTGCTGTGAATGATGGATAGAATTGTCTGTGAGAAGACAGTGAAACGTCCAGAAATGCCCCAGAACCTCTGAATCTCAGAAAATCTTAGGATTCGTTCCTTATTTCTGACCACAGAACAGGTGTACAGTGAGATAACTGACAAGTGGGCCTTGAATTCCCTTTCAACCTGCATTGGGCTGCCACTTCATCACCATGAGTCTCCTGAGGGCACCCTTGACTTCCTTGTTCCTCAGACTATATATCATAGGATACAACATGGGTGTCACATTGGTGTAGATTAAAGATACAATTTTGTCCTGTTCTGGGGTGTAGCATGACTTGGGGCGAATGTAGATGAATATTGCACAGCCATAGTGCAAAAGTGAGACCAGTAGGTGCCCTGCACAGGTAGAGAAGGCTTTGCTTCTGCCCTCAGCTGAGTGGATTCTGAGGATGGCAGTGATAATGAACCCATAGGAGAGCAGGATCAATAAGAAGGGCAACAACAGGATGAGCATGCACACAAGGAAGACTGCAATCTCTTTGTCTTGTGTGTCTGAGCAGGCCAAGAATAGCACAGCAGGGATGTCACAGAAGAAATGATTGATCTCATGGGACCCACAGAAGGGCAGGAGGAAGATCAGTGTGGTAAGGGTGAGCGAGAGTGCAAAGCCACTGATGCATGCCAGAGCCAGCATCTGCAGGCAGATGGCCCTTGTTATGATGAGTGTGTAGCACAGGGGATTGCAAATGGCTACAAAGCGGTCATAGGCCATCATAGTGAGGAGGAAACATTCTGCCCCACCCAGGGCAATGAACAGGTGCATTTGCAAGGCACAGCCCAAGAAGGGCATCCGCTGGTTCCTGGAAAGGAAATTGGCCAGCATGTTGGGGACAATAACCAGTATATAACCAATTTCAATGATGGACAGATTCCGGAGGAAGAAATACATGGGGGTCTGGAGGCGGGAGTCAATGAGGGTGATGAGGACAATAGTTGTATGTCCTGCTAGGGTGATAAGGTGCATGGTTAGAAAGAGTACAAAAAAGAGGATTTGCAAGTCAGCCAGGTCCCCAAAACCCAAGATAATAAATTCAGAACTCATGGTCTGGTTTTTCTGCAGTAGATCCATCCTATATTCTTTGTAGAACTTCTACACTGAGGTTAGTTTTCTAGCAATTCTCCAAGTTGGAAACTTGGAAGCTGTCTTCAGGGATGGGAGTATAGCCAGCTCTCCAGGCCCTTCAAGCTCCTTTTCCAGACTTAGCTTTTTGAATTCTGCCCTCTGCTGACTGAGAATGAAGCCTTGTTCATTTGCTGTCACTTTAGTTTACCTGTTGAATTATTATAAAAATGACCTGAGATAAGTGAACTCTAAATATGAAGTTGCTTTTCCTAGACTCTAAAGATAATCTTTCTGTTAGAACTGTTCTCTATTTTGAAGACTTGTCTGTAGGTGGAGGTGGGGGATGAGGCTGCAGAGTCACTGACCTGTAGGGAGTTCCTGTAGGATGCAGGCACTTTTGACTTTGCTCACTGGCTATTTTGTTCTTCCCCTACAACCACCTCCAAACTTCTGGGAATCATGCAGGCAATGAACTGTGAACGGGGTGCTAGAGAGTTGCCTGTCCTATGTCCTTGCCTCAATTGCAGAGAGGCCCCGGCTCACATGTCACCTCCTTCTAGACAACCTTCCTAACCCCCTAGGCTGTGTTAGGCCCTTCCCTATGTTCCCACAGCACTCTGGGCTTCCCCAAACATATTATTTGTCTGTGAGCCCTGTGATTCTTTGATTATTTCTCTGTCTACCCCAATAGCCCACAAGCTCCATGATAGCAATAATGGTGTCTTGTTCAGCCTCTCAATGGATGGTACATATTGGAAATATAAATAAATATTGAATGACTGTCTGTTACTCATTTATGCATCCTTCACAGTTAGCACAGGGTCAGGCACAGTAAGAAGAAGGCAAAAGGACAAGCCAGGTCACAGGCAGGAGGAATATGACAGAGTAAGGAGACACTCAGGGAGGAATTATATCAGAACAATGGGGTATTGAGTGCCTGGTGGGATTATGCCTTGGCTGGTCTGCTTCCCTGGTTTCAGGGAAATGTTTGCTTCCTTGGAAGGACTAAGGTTACCAGTAGGAAGCCTTGTGTTTAGTCTCTGATTTATTCCAATACATCCCTCTGTCATAACAATGGAGAAGAAGGGGAGGTTTGTAAAGATAGAGATTTAGCAAATCAAGAATGAACAGGAGCTAAGGGCCTTGCAGAAGTGGAGTTGCCACCTAAAGGAGATTACTTTTTAGGAACATACCATTTCCATTGGTATCACTGACACTCAAAGTGAGTTCATTGAAACTAGACAATCCATTTGATGATAGTTCTGCTTGGTATAAATGGGCATCCTTTCAGCTTCCCAGCTATTTTTTGTGTTACTCTGAGCATTATTTTGTTTTTTTATAAATACTTACCTAAATGGCATCTGAAGTCTTTGAGCTGGACAGGTCCCTAGAGGGCAACATGCCCACTCATCACTTTAGTGCAGATGGTCACCAAGCCTCTTTTCCTGAATAACCCACCTCTTGTGCCTGTTCTGGTCACTGGCCCTGCCTCAGAAATCACAGTAAGTTCCTGCCTGAAGTCCCCTATCCTGACAGAGCCCAGCCTATCCTGGGCTTCCTCCTTTTGCCATCTTCCTCACTATAGCCACTGGAGTCCAGTCTGGAAGGACTGACAGACAGTAGGGTGATTTGCCTCACTCCAGAAAGGGGCCTCCTAGAGCTTGAGCCCAACTCCCTCCCATTACCTATTCCAGCCTCCCACTCTCAGCCTCCCTTGATAACTCTATGAGTGAGAATGTGCTTTCCAGGTTCATGTTTGTCTTCCTTGGACTCATATACTTTGGCCTTGCCACCCTTTACCCCTATGACAATGCTGCAGAAATGTGGGTATTGCTTTATTTGGGCCTAAACCTTGAAAATACTGAAAAACACAAAAATGAAAGTAAAAGTCACATATTACCCAAAAAGTAAGAAGTGAAAATCAGTGTGGAAGTTTCTGCTCTTTTAGTTTTCTCCCTGCTGTTCAGAGAGAAGCCTTCTTAGTATCTCCTTCCCAGCTTTCTCTTGTGCATACAAACATACACTCATTCACTCATACACAAGCGCATATGAACATACACACAGTCATATATACACACATGATCACACACACTCACATATACATAAACATTCATCACGCTCACATGTTAAAAACATTAAATGGCCAAAAGATTGTTTGGAGCTATGAAGAAAGTACTGAAAAGCACACATTAAATTGGATCATAGTGTACAAAAGTACTTCCCTCATTGTAGTAATTTGATGGGATGTCTGCAGGAGGTTTTCAGTCAGCACATGCTGGTTTACTGCATTCTTTTAACTGCTGCATTATACAGTGTAAACACACTATGTTATTAATGATAATTATAGTTAAATATTAATAAGTGCTATAATATACATAAAGTAAAAATAATAAAACATAATCAAAATAAATTATAATTTTATCAATATTTTATTACTTCAGTGTCAAAGTGTCTTCTCAATACTTTTTAATTACACAAAGGATATCCGACTGCAGAGCTCAGCATGCCCAGCTGTGAAGACTGCTAGTGTGTCCTTTCCTGCTGCTTTCTCATGTCCCTGAGCACCCCTGGAGAAGAGCACTAGGGTTACCTGGGAGGGAGGAAGATCAGTGCCTGAAGTGGAGACCCAGGTAGCAGCTTGGTCAGAGATTCTTCTGTGACCTTGTCCTGTGGGTGAGAACTTGAGAAGGATGAGAAGCCTGCTAACCAGGTAGCACAGCTTCCCAGAGCCCATATGGTGGCTTTCCAGCCTGTCTGGACCACAGGGACCAGCCCTCAGAAGTATTGCTGATGGCTGTTATGAAGGTGGTGTCCTTAGTAACTTGGTGTTAAATAGCCATGAGGGCAAGACTTGGAGAGTCCTAGGAGAGGTCAGGAAGGAGGTCGCACTGGGACCCACCCATTGCAGGGAGTGCCTTCCTCAGGTCACACAGTTGCAACCCCCAGTGACTTGTATTGTATTTACAAACCTTGGATGCCATATAGGTCTGGACAATGTTATTTAAGTAGAATCTGCTAAAACTGCAGCCCTCATTGTGCAATTACCAGAAGGTGAATGGGCCTCCGGCTAATTCCAGAGGCAGAAAACATACAGGTCTGGCTTAAATCAAATCCAGTGAACAAGCTTTGCTAGAAAGAAGTGTGAAGTGGGCAGTAGAGTAGAAATTGGTGGTGTCTTTTTAAGCACCCCCTAACCTGCTCAGATTCTACATTTCTTTGTAGTAACTAGGAGAGGACATAATCAGATCCATCAAATTGGCTTACTTCATTGAGTGAAGTGAAGAGAAAGAGTTACAGAACCTCAAAAATGCCACTATTCAGCTGACCTAACCTTCCTTTAATATTTATGTCTCCCCAGGCAAGCATCTCCACACCCTGAGTTTAGGTGCAGACCGATCTCCAACAGGCAGCATGGTTCCCATCTTGGTAATGCAGTTATTTCCTCCTTGCCTGGTGTGCCCCATCGTCCCCTAATGCTGATTCACCTGCATTCAGAAAGCAGCCTTCCAGCAGCAGCCACTCTGGGCTACTGACCCTGGGTCCTCGTCTTGTTCAGAAAATCCTCCTAACCACCACTGTTCTTTCTAGGAATACCAGTGCCCAAGCCAAAGTTGTTGCCACATCTTGGAAGATTTCAATCCTTGGAGGGCCTGGACAGCCTCTTGCCACACTCCTAAACAGGACACAAAACCCCTTACGGGCCCTGTTTGACCTTAGAATCATATACATGATCCCCCTTAAATCATTCTAGTAGCTTCTGCCTCTACCTCCACCCCCAGAGAGGCTCCTAACACTCCAAGTTGGTACTTTTCCAGCCCCTCTACTTCCCTCTTCTTCCTTCATCCTCTCCAACCCTCCTCTCATCTTGGGTACAGTTTCTAAAACTAAAAATCTTCTCCTTTTAACAAAAGCCGTAGAAACATTGTTCTAAGCACCTATGGAATAGGTTTTGTAGAAAGCTCCATGAGGTGACCTTGTCCTGTACATAGGAACTATGTGGCCTGTCTTAAAATCACCAAGCCTTCCTGAGTGAAGCCAGGAAATAGCAGAAACCTTCAGAAATCCAAGGGAGGTACCTGACCTGGAGAATGAGAATGCCTGCTCATGGAGACCATGGGGCTCTTTCAGCAGGCAGCTTTAGTACTAGGATTACCTAGGCATGGGACCCAATGGGAGGAATGGGAAGGAAGAGGTTTCAAATGTAAACTTAACATTTTGGAAGAAAGACACTTCAATGGGACCTAAAAAACTGGGCCTTCTTCCTTTCCAAACTTAGATGTTCTAGGGCAGTGATAGTTCAGGTACCAGAGCTGTCAAAATTACCCACACTTATTGCCTCTCCCTCCAATTAGAAACCAATTAGTGATCACACTTTCTGATAGGATTTTGGGCAACATGGTACTAAGTCTTATTAAGTATTTGAACTCCTTAAAAAGGGAAAGTCAAAGACAGTTGGTATTTAAATAACCTAATTGCCCAGGCATTGAATAAACAGCACCCTTTCCTGTGGAAGTTGTCCCACACTGCAGAACTCTGGCCTCGCAAAACATCCAGAACTTTTTTTTTAATTGAATGGTAACTATATACATTAATGCACTTCTGGGGAACATCCAGAACTTTTAACTAAATGTGAGCAAAGGGGAGGTTGGAAAGTATGATCAAGGGTTCCAATGTCTTTCAACTTTGGCTTACAAGATCAAAAGACTTTTTTTGTTTGTTTACTTTAAGACAAGGTCTTTCTTTGTTGCCTGGGTAGAGTGCAGTGGAATCAGCCTCGCTCACAGCAGCCTCAAATGCCTGGGCTCCAGTGATTCTCCTGCTTCAAGCTCTCAAGCAGCTGAAACTACAGGCACCTGCTCCCACACCTGGCTAATTTTTCTATTTTTAGTGGAGGTGGGATCTTGTTCTTGCTCAGGCTGATTTTGAACTCCTAGACTCAAGCAATTCACCTGCTTCAGTCCTCTGAGTTGCTAAGATTATAGGCATGAGCCACAGTGCTCAGCCCA